GCGTGTGTGAGGTCCTGGGTTCAAGTACTAAGAGGGGAAAAATATATCCTAGCAATTGGGAGGTAAGAGCAAGGGGGAATCCATGGAAATTTAAAGCCAACTTGGGCTTCATAGCAGTTTTTTTTTTTTTTTTTTTTTTTTTTTTTTTTTGCTTTTGTTTCATCTGAGACAGCATCTCCATATGTAGCCCTGGCTGGTCTGGAACTTACTATATAGACCAGGCTGGCCTAGAATTCACAGAGATCACCACCTGTGCCTCCTGGGCATTGGGATTAAAGGTATGGGCTACCACATCTAGTTACATAGCAGATTTTAAATCAGCCAAAGCCACATAACAGGATCCTGTTCCAAGCCAAGCCAAGTCATGCCTTGTGATGATATAACTCAGAGGGTAGAGTACATACCTAGCATGCTAGATGCCCTTGGGTTTGATCCCCAACACTGAATAAACTAGGAATAGTAGAGGCAGAGGCAGGTGGATCTCTGTGAGTTTGAGGCCAGCCTGGTTCACAAAGCAACTTCCAGGACTTCTAGAGCTGTTACACAGAGACACTGTCTCAAAAAATCAAAAACCAAACAACTACCCACCCACCCACCCACCCAACCAACAAAGCAATCAAAATTCATCAGGAACTCTTCTGCCAGTGTGGTTCATGGTTCTTGGGCAAAATATCTTTTCAGTTTCCTCCAAACTTTAGCTTCCAGGAGATTGTGGGAGGGTTGTTTTCTTTTTATTTTGCATTTTCTTATAAACATATTATCTTACTTTTTCCTTGCAATGTGATAGAGGACGAGTTAATGTAGTAAAGTCATTGTGCTGTCCCCTGCCAGGTTTCAGTTCCTCTCTTCCCCGAACAAACCACACTTTATGAGCCAGGAATGGTTTCGCCCACCTGTCATCCTAAATCTTGAAGATCAGAAACAAGAGGATGACAAATTCCAGCCTAGCCTGGGCTACACAAGGAGATCATATCTCAAACCCACAGAATGAAATCTGATATTTCACAGAAGATAGTACACATGGTCCCTTATTGTGAGGCTTTGGGATTAGGGGAGGCCAATTCTACTGGAGTCACTGGGAAGTCTGGGAGAGCTTGACTCTAACAGAATTTTGGGGTCTTGCTCTGTCAGCCGTTATTGGGTCCCCATCACCTTGCAGGCTGGCTTCACACCAGCCTTGCCACTTCTCCCTCCTTCTTGAAGTCTGTTTCTGCACATTGTTCTCACGAGCCCAGTTTCCTTGCCACCCCAGCGCTCTTCGGTCTTTGGGATCTTTCCTGGATCCATTCCTCTCATAAGGGACCCTTTGTGAACATTTCCAATAAATGTCCCCTGGAGGTTCCTGGAATAGTGTGACCAGGCAAAAGGCCCCAAGGGCTTCAGAGCTCTTAATGAATGCCTATGCACAGATCAAGTGGATTCTTCATGTATTTATTTACTTAACACACTATTTTTATTTTTTGTTATATGTATGGTGGGCGAGGAAGGTGCATGCCATGGTGTTTGTGGCGGTCAGAGGACAATTTCCATGGGATTAATTTTCATTTTCCATCTTGAACTCTGGTTGGCTATTGTTGGTAAGCTATTACTGACTGAGTCATCTTGCTGGCTCCATTTTTTTTAATTAAAATGTTCAATACATTAAATATATTTAGAGAGAAGTATGTGCATATGTGTGTGTTCACAAAAATGCCATATTCCTGTGGAAGTCAGAACACAACTTTTGAGAAGCAGTTTTTTTCTTTTCACCATTTGGACCCTGGGGATTGAATTAATTAGGTCATCAAGCTTGGGGCAAACACTCAGTAAGTCCTTCTAATACTCACCCCCTTTGAGACATTGCCTTTGAACTCCTAATCCTCCTGCCTCCACCTCCTAAATTCTGGGCTTAAAGATGTATGCCAACCATGCCTGGCACTAAGAGGGCGTTTATAAAGATGGTTTTGGTACTCAGTGATTTGGGTGGGGGGCAATTCCTCACTGTGTATACAGGTGCACACACATACATCTCTTTTGAAATGGTGTCTCCTGTATCCTAGGCTGGTCTGAAACTTGCTATATAGCAGAGAATGACCTTGAACAGTCTTAATCTCCTGCCTATACAGCAGGGAGCCACTGTGTTTTGTGACAGCAAATCTTCCAGCTCTCTTTTGTTGCTAGGAGCTCAGTACCCACTTCCCCACTTTGCTCCCCAGGGGAAGTGGTGGCTGCTAGCAGGAACTGGAGAAAGGAGTTCAGAGGCCTGTGTGTCTACAGGGTGTTGTGAGGGAGGGAGAGCAGATTGCAGGCTGTTGGAAGAAGGCTGGGTTCCTGAGTCAGGTCTCTGTCAGGAGATCCGCTTTCAGACAAGATTGTTCCCCTAAGTGCTGTGTGATCTCTAATGACTATCTTTTTCTCCCTAGGCTTTATTTTCCACATTGGTACAATGATAGAAGGGGACTGATAACCTCTAAGGGCCCATTCCAACGTGCTGAGAGTCCTCTTACTTTGCCTGGGTGTTAGCTGGTACTGTTCCTGGGTGCATACGTGTGTCAATCTGCTCAGCCCCAGGGTCAGTTGCTGAAAGCTGTGAGAGGATTTGTTGGGCCATTTTGACTTTCCTTACCTGGGCTGGAATGTGGTGAGGAGGGCTGGGTAGATCCTCATTGGGTTTCTCCAATTCTCACTTATTTCCTGTTCCCTTTTCTAGTGATTGTAACTTCCCTGCCTTCTTGTGCTTTTGAAAAATTACATTTACTTATTACATATTGTGAGTGCAGACACACAAGTGTCATGATGGCAACTGAGATCATAGGACAACTTTCAGGAACTGAGTCTCCTTTTTTATCATGTGGGTCCCAGGGATTGAATTCAGGTTTTTAGGCTTGGCAGTAAGCACCTTTAACCACTGAGGCCATCTTGCCTGGTCCACCATTCTTTAACAAAATGCTATTAGACTATATTAATTAGAGTAATGAGTTTCACTGTGACATTTCCATACTTGTATGTAATGTATTTGGTCATATTCACCCTGTCTTGTCCCTGTCCTGCTGATTTCCTCTTCTAACTAGTCCCCCCGCCATGCCTTTGTGTGTATATGTGTGAATATGACCCACTCAGTTTCATGAGGAACATGGGTGAGCATTATTTACATGAGCATGGACACCTTATCAGTGATTACACCACTGAAGAAAATGTCTCCCCCTCCTGTAACCTGCCTATACATCCCCCATGAGCCCCTCCCCTTTCTTTGATTTTTGTTTGTTTTGTTTTTTGACTAAGGGGTCTCACTGGAGTTCCAGCTGACCCAAGTTTCCTCCATAGTTCAGGCTGACCTGAATTTATGATAGTTTTTCTATCTCAGCCTGGGATTAAAGTCTTGAGCCACTCTGCTTGGCTTCTTTTTTTGTTTTTTGAAACAGGATCTCAAAACCTGTAGCACAGGTTGGCCTGGAGCTCTAGATCTACCTGCCTCTGCCTCCCAAGTGCTGGGATTAAAGGCATTGGCTCTCTACCCCAGCCTAATCATAAACAATTTACAAAATCTATTTCATTGCTAATTATGTGTATGTGTCTGCAGGAGGGATGTGTTCATGAGTGCAGGTGTACCAGAGGTGTCAGATCTTCCTGGGATTGGATTTACAAGTAGTTACGACACCTTCCCCCACTCCTCTCATCATGTGTGCTGATGACTGAATGACAGTCCTCTGGAAGAGCAGCAAGTGTTCTTAACAGCCGATTGTTCCCACCCACCCCAAACCAATTTTTATAATATTATTTTTTTTTTTTTCAGACAGAGTCTTGCTATGTGGCTTAAGGGGCCCAGAGACCCTGCTGCCTCAGCCTCCCAGTGCTAGGACTGGGGAGCCACACCCAGCATGCACTCTTGTCTTCATCCTCCATTGGTAAAGAGTTGTTGTGCAGCATCTGTTCTTTCTCCAAGCCACACAATTCTCTGAAAATAAAACTTTGTTTCCATTCTCCCTATTTTCTCTTGAACACTGACTGATTCAGAGACCTTGAAGTCTGTCTCTTGCAATCTATAGTCCTTAAACTCAACACAGAAAGGTTTCTTTTGTTTCCATTTTCTGAGTCTGCTTTGATGGATTTGAGTCCTGAGTGTAACAACTGGCTAATCTGTAACCTGTTTGTCCTTGATTCTCACCTGTAAAAATGGGAAGTTACAGTAAATGGGGGCTGGAGACAGAGTTTAGTTGGTAGAGTGCTTGATCAGAACGCTTGAAACTGTGGGTTTGGTCCCTAGCACCAAATAAAACAAATTGGCCAGGACATGAAGGCAGCAGATCAGGAGTTGGGGTGATTGATGGCTACACAATGAGGTTCGAGGCCAGCCTGGGGTCCACGAACCTTTAACTACACAACCAGTGGTAGGATTATAGGACACTTTGTCTCAAAAAACTAACAACCACTATACAAGGAAGGCTGAGGCAGAAGGATGACAGGTTCAAGGCCTTCCTGGAGAACTTGGCAAGATCCTATTTCAAAATAAAACTAAGGAGTAGGCTGGGCGGGGGTGTACAGCTCAAAAGTAGAAGAACATTTGGCTAGCAAGTATAAGGCCTTAGGTTCAATACCTGGGACTGCAAAGAAAATCATCCCCCACCCCAGTGCTCTGAAGGGTTGAGGGAGGAGATTGAAGATTCCGGGTCTGCCTGGGCAACACAGTGAAATGCTGGCCAGCAAGGCCAAAGTGACACCATGTCTTAAAACCAAATATTGTCCTTCAAAGAGGAAAAAAATAGTGAGACTTGAAAGATGTTAGGGGCCCCAAGATGCAGTACTGGCCTTCCCTGGCTGCATTCCTCACATCGCAAAGAGAAAGAAGCACGTTAGACACCGTACAATTCCTGACCTTGATTTAGTCACCTGATAGGGCTTTCCTTTTACCACCTCACCACGCCTCCCCCGCCGAGGCCAGGGCGCCGCCTTGCCCAGCCAGGCCCTCACCAGGCCCTCTCCGCCCCCGCCCTCCCCGCAGGCACGCTGCACCACGCTGAGTCAGGCTGCGCCCAGCTGAGGCGGGGCCCGCGCACGCGCACTGGCGTCTGCGTCGGGGTTGGGGGGTAGATTTATATTCGTCCGATCAGCTGACGATCTGCATTGCAGCCTGCGGAGTGCAGAGGCGCCATGTACGCTCTCGCCTTCTTCGCCAGCCTTCTGGTCACCGGTGAGTTACGAGGGTACTCGGTGTGGTGGAGGGGGCGCTGTAATGTCCCCTGTGTCTGGGTTGCAGGGCAACCGGGCCGCAGCGGGCCTCGCCCTCCGCAGTGCGCAGGCGCAGGCCGGGGCCCGTGTCTGTCTGAGGTGACATGTTCCCGATTCCCTGGAAATTCGAATGGGGACAATTGGGTGGGTGGTAGAGGCGGCCTGACCCTTGTTTGTGTGCGCAGGCCTTTGCCCAAGGCCTTGCGGGTGGCCCGCGCTTCTCCCTGGGGTGGGGGTAGGAGGGTGGGAATCGGGGTGGCCCCTCCCGCCTCCCTGTTGTCCCTGCCCTGGCGCATGTGACCGACATGGCCTGAAGCCCCATCCTGCAGTCCAGGTTGGCTCGTGACCTCTGCCTCAGACTGCATGGCTATGGGAGTTGCAGGAAGCTCCTGTGTGTCTGCAGGGGGTGATCTTGACATGTGTGTGAACCCTGCAGCGCAGTAGGACTTGGAAGGAGTTCTGTGGTTCCCTCTTTGCCTTGAACCTATTGTTTTCCCTATTTGAGCTGGCGAAGCTGTTGGCCGGCGTTTATTTTGTAGCAAATGTGAGAGCAAATGTGAGAAACAACAAGTTGTTTCTAAAATGGTACCGCTGATTTTGTTAAAAACACTGCAGGTTCCCAAGGCAGCGCCAGGGGACCCACTGCACCACCTCGATTCTAGGTGAGCCCGCCTGGATCTTTCCCCACAAATCTTGCCTTACTCGGCTTCATTTCAGTCACGTTACACACACAGGTGTATATTGAGATCTTAATCTCTACAGAGGGTCTTCTCTCAAGTCGGTATTTTTCGGACCTTAGCCCACCAAAGGAAGTAAACATTTCTGGCTCCCAACTTCAGGATCTGCTTATTTGTATCTACTCAGTGGAGGAGGGGCCTGTCTAAGACAGGATTTGACTAAGTTCCCCAAAGTGGCCTTAAACTTGTTATGCAGCCCACGCTATGCTGGCCTTGAACTCCTGATCTTCCTGCCTCCACCTAAGTGCTTAAAAGAAAAAAGTTTTGATCAGGTTAGGGTGGTGAACATCAATCAATGATCTCAGCATTTGTAAGGCTGAGATAGGAGGAGCTTGAATTTGAAGCTAGCCTGGGCTACACAAGGCTAGTTTGGGCTATATATTGAGATTGTGTTGCAAGAAAACTGAAAAGAAATGCAATTGATTCTGTTGGCATTGAGTCATCCTAATCCTGTCCCTCGTGAGTTCTGATTCACCCACATCACCAAAAACCATACTTCTTTCTTCTCTTTCTGTGGTGTGGGCATTGTGACCTTAGACCCTAATAGATGTAGAGGAGCACCCTCCTGATTCACCCACATCACCAAAAACCAGACTTCTTTCTTCTCTTTCTGTGTGTGGGCATTGTGAACTTAGACCCTAACAGACTCCTACCAAGTCACACTGCAGCCCTTAATTTTTTCTTTGGGAAAGTAAAATCTGTTTCTAATGCATATGTAGTTCATCTGACCAGAGTCTGGTTAAATGGCCCCCATTTTCACTGAGCGCTTAGGTTGGTGGGAGGGTCCTAGCAGGCCCTTACCAAGGTCACACTGGTAACTGGAAGAATGCTAGCTTGTCTAGACTACTGTCCATCATTGAGTTGTTGATAAAGCCTATGATTGCTGTACGCCATGTGTGCTCCCTGAGGCTCTTGGGCCCATGGGTTCAGTGTACTACTGTAATTCAGGGTACCACTCAGACTCTGGAGAGATTTCATGGCTTGCATTTTAATGATGTCCTGGGTGCTTATGGTGTTTCAGGTACTGTCCAATCTTCACAAAGGCCTGGGGGGTACAGACACCTGTTTGGGGCTACTCCTCACTCATCTAGTCTTCCTGCCTTTCCTACCTAGACAGAAAGTAAAGACATGCTAAAAGAATTAAAGGCCAGTTTAACCACTTCATAGGGAGTGAGGACAGGTACTCAGGCTCTTATTGGCTGTTGACTGCAGTGACAGGGGAGGGGGTGGGGTGTCTCAGGATGCTCACTCTTTTTTTTTTTTTTTTTTTTTTTTTTTTTTTTGAGACAGGGTTTCTCTGTGGCTTTGGAGCCTGTCCTGGAACTAGCTCTTGTAGACCAGGCTGGTCTGGAACTCATGGGGATCCACCTGCCTATGCCTTCAGAGTGCTGGGATTAAAGGGGTGGGCCACCACGCCCGGCAGGATGCTCACTCTGCATGTATTCCATTGGCAGGGCTTCAGACACCACAGCACAGCCCCATATGGTAGAGGGACAGTGAGACCTGATTCTTGGCTGGTTTCCTTTTATTTCCAGAACAATATTACACACACACACACACACACACACACACACACACACACACACACAAGCACGCGCGTGCAAGGGGCATCGGCTGCCTTCAGTGGTAGGCCCCTAACTCCATGCATGCCGTGCCTGGGCCTGCTTGCAGGAAACTGCTCTGCTCACCCCAGTGTCAGGGAATCTTAGTGTCTGGACGCTTAGTTGTGGGATTGCTCCAGTGGGAACAAGTGTGTCAGAGTTGATGAGCTGAGCATAGAGAGGTGGCTGAGGTGCTAGCACATGATTCCCCAAAGCTGAAATGCCATTGCTGCTGTCACTTGTGTTGTGGTTAACCCCTTAGTGTCTGTACATACTGAGGCAGTGTGTTGTAGCTAGCCTGCTTAAGTTATGAATAGCAACAGGAACCCCCAGTTTCACCTGTTTAGCAAAAGGTAACTTTTTTTTTTTTTTTTTTTTTTTTTTTAAAGACAGGTTCCTGCTTGTAACCTAGGCAGGCTGGCCTCTAAAGTACTGTGCAGCAGGTCATTGAACGTAATCCTTCTGTTTCATGTGCTGTAGTGTTGGCTGGTGTTGCACATGGGAGCCACCATACCTAGCTTCTGTTTTGTTTTTTGGAGGTGTGTGTTTGTGTGGTGTGGGATATGCACCTCTCTCAAAGGCCGGAGGAGGCTGATCATACTTCTTTTTATTCCCTTGAGCTCAGGTCTCTCACCAAGCCTGAGAGCTCTGCTGGCAGCCAACAAGTCCCAGCCATCCTTCAGTCCGCTCCCACAGTGCTAGGTGAGGGTGTGGGCGGCTCCCAGTGTATGTATGTGGGCTCTGGGATCTGAATTCAAGCCCGGAGGCTTGTGAGGCAGAACTGCAGAGCTGTCTCCCTATCTGGGCAAGTTCTTAGCGTATATTTGACAGGTTGTTTTGAAGTGTGTTGGATTTGAGTTGGAGGGAATTGTCTAGCTCAGGGAAGGAGAACCTAGCCTGTTATTTTTTTCTTTCACTCAAGGGCTTTACAAGCCTGGCAGGTGTCTCAGACTCTTAACACTATGCCTCCATTTTCTTGTGTGAAACTGAACCATTAAGGCTATTGACAGGATCTGAAATGGACAGGAAGAGGTTGTTTGTTATTCTATGGGTTTGGGGAGAATGCTTGGTTAATGGCTTGATTTTTTTTTTTTTTTTTTTTGAAGCAGACTGTTGACATGAATTGTAAAGTATTGGCTTCTAGGCACTAAGCCTTGTTTTCCAGCTGGCCACGAGGCAAGAAGTCATAGATCTGATACCTTTTCCCCACTACCCTCACAGGGTATTGAACTCAGGGCTGCTTCTCATGTCCTGGGTATTTTGAATTTGCTTAGAAAAAGATCAGGGGAGGGGCGTTGGTGGTGCATGCCTTTAATCCCAGCACTTGGGAGGCAGAGGCAGGAGGATCTCTGAGTTCGAGGCCAGTCTGGTCTACAGAATGAGTTCCAGGACAGGCTCCAAAGCTACACAGAGAAACCCTGTCTTGAAAAGCCAAAAGAAAAAAAAGAAAGAAAAAAAAAAAAGGAAGATAAGGAATAGGCAGGAGCACCGATTGACTTGACTCGCTTGCTTGTTTTACCCTTGGTACTGGGGACTGAATTCGATGTTGAGCCACACCTCTAGCTCAATTTTTTTTAAAGATTATTTTATTTTATATGTATGGGCATTTTGAGTTATAGACAGTTGTGAGCTGCCACGTGGGTGCTAAGAATTGAAAATTGAACCCTGGTCCTCTCTGGAGGAGTAGCCATTAATCTTAACCCAAAAGCTATCTTTCCAGCCCCCTCCAGCTCAATTTTAATTAAAAAAATTTTTTTTTTGAGACAGGGTCCTAGAACTCACAATGTAGATCAGAGATCTACCTTGAACTCACAGAGATCCACCTGCCTCCACCTCCTGAGTGTTGGGACTGCCCTGCCTAGAGTTGGCCTTGAACTCCTTTTTGGTCTTGATCTGCCTCTGCCTCCCCAGTCCTGAGGTTATGGGTGTGTACTGTATTGCTGTGCCCCGCTTCAAATTATTCTGCCTCATTTATTTATTTATTCATTCATTCATTTATTTATTTAATTGGTGGTGGTTCTAGTGATCGAAGCCAGGACCTTGTGAATGCTAGGCAATCACTTTCCTAGTGAGCTAGATCCCCAGCTGCTCCCATTTAAAAAAAGGTGGGCACAACAGGTAGTTTCTCAAGCACCTCACAGCACCTGGGAGGCAGAGGCAGGTGAATCTCCAGAGTGGAGGCCACCTGGTCTATGTAGAGTTCCAGGACAGCTAGGGCTGGAAGTATTGGTAATGCTTCTGCCTCAGTAGGAGTCAGTCACTTCTGCTCTCCAGCCCTTTTGATTTACAAACCAGTTACAATAACAGTGCAGCTAGTTCCTGAAGCCCTTCACCTAGCTCATCCTACTGTTTGTGTGCAGTTTTGTTTTTGGCTTATTCAGCAGAAAATTTTCTCTTATAAATAATTTACTTCTCTCTGGAGGGATCTCTTCCTGGCTTGCACTTTGCTTTGTCATGACATGTTAGGTGGGCAGGGTGGGGCTTGGGGAAGACACTGACTTTACTGACCAGACTGCAGACTTGGCAGGTTTTTGCCAAGTTCCCCAGTAGTTTCATTTCCTGCTCTAGCATTCCTGTCTAGTTGTCATGACCTCTAGCTGTTTAAAAGTGGTTAGGGGTGGTGG